AGAGCTAAGGCTTTGCAAATTGATTAAAAGCTCAAAAGTCTTTGGTACTAATAGAAGGGGATAGAAGCCAGAGCTTCTCAGATCTCTCCCAATGTGTTCCAAAAACCATCTTAGTATATGGAAATTACTCTTCCTCTCTCTGAGTCAGTTTGCTTGTAGCTAAGTGTGTTAGCAATACTTTCCCCTACTCTTACATGACCCTTTGAAGTGTTGATCATTTCTGCACTGTAGCACATATTCATAAATGCACCTTTCTGCCCTAAAACCTTATGTAAGAGTTCAATGAGAGATTTCTCACATGGCAATGCAGGCCAGCGAAGCACTGCCTACATTTTTGTAATGTCCAGAATAAAACACCTACACAGCCACTGGCTCTGCAGCTCATGGTGGAAGCCTAAGGTTCAAATGTTGGTGATGGCAAGATGGCAATCATCACATGTGGATCTGTCTCATCCCAGCTTCTTCATCAGAAGCTATCTTATTCTTTGTCAGACCAAGGCTGTTTGGAGCCAAGACAAGCTCTGAGCAGTCTGTCATGGAGCTCTACCAGACACTGATATGATAGGTACGTTGTGGGCTTGGAGTAAACTGAATTCCTTCTGTATAGTTGGCCTGTTGTTGCTTGTAACAAGTATGTATAGCTTTCTGACAAATTTTATGCACTTCTACTGTTTCTCATAACCCCAGAGAGGAGCATTAACATTACATCCAGTACAAATAAAATTTACACCAAATAAATTGTAAAATTGTGCAACACTGCCATTGGAAACTGTGGAGGTCAAAAGATAAGTAGATTCAAAAAGTACTTGCTAAGTCTGTGTCGGTCAGTGCCCATTACAAGGAGTGTGGAGATTCTGGATGTGGCTTTGCTTCAAAAGGTCCTCAGGCTGCTGATGACTGGAGTGTGGGAAAGGATAACCAGGAACATGTTTGCTTGTTATATTTTCTCCACTACTTTCTTTATTGGCCAGTTCTGAGGACAGGATACTCAGCTAGATTGACTTTCATGGTACCAATGCAACCTTTCTTATGTTTTTTTTTATCTTCCAGGGTGTGCATTTGTGAAATACTCTTCACATGCGGAGGCCCAAGCAGCCATCAATGCCTTGCATGGCAGCCAGACAATGCCGGTGAGTAGCTCTGTAGCACGAGCAAGTGAGGATCAGTCCAGCCTTTCCTGCCCTGTGGCCTGATTGAGGAGGAGGAATGATTTATCTATGCTCTGCCACTCATCTTCTGGGAAGAATGGATAACAGCTCGGGCATGCAGGACCTTGAGTGTGCTTAACTCATCAGTGTAAAGGCCAGGATGACACTGTCATTTTGCATAGGCACAGAACACCAGAGGGTGCTGTGTTCTGTCACCAGCAGTTTTGATGACCTGAAAAAAAACCCATATGGTTCACAGATGCCAAAAACTTTGAGTAAAACTCACCATGAGTGTAGCCTTTCAGGTTTCAGAGGGATGAATCAAGCAAAAACTTGTGTCTGAGGGCTTCTTTGTTTTCCCTCCCCAAAGAGTCCCTGCCTCTAAGTGAAGGACAAAGAACTTTTTGCCAGCATTCAGCAGAGATGGCACTAGAAGCTAGAGAGAAATCACACAGCAATGGGCACCTCTCACTGCTACTACAGAAGTGCCTACCTAGGCATAAATGTGGTCCCCTACATCCAACTTTTGAAAGATAGATCAATTACTGAATCTTCCAGGAAGCATTTGAGGGATTGTTCTACTTGCATAAATATCTAGTAACGTGGGGTTTCAAGCCTGATAGTTCAGGAAAGTAGAAATGGAAAGGTATTTTCTCTGCAAAATGATATTTGTAACCCACCACACAGACCCAGAGAAATGTAAGGCATTCTACTGTTAGCAAGGAAGGACAATCTGGTCCAACATGGTTTAGTTTATTATAATAGCATATTATTTTTATTACTAATTATTCACAGTGTAAATCATGAAAGGCTAAGATGCATGCCGACAATTTGGAAAGGTTGCAGGAAGCTCAATAAAAGATATTTAAGAGTGTAAAATCTCCCTTTCAGTAAGAGACTCTAATGTAAATCCATTAATTTATCCAAATAAGTGTTTAAAGTGGGTCTGGCAGATTGTGTCCAGGTATTTTCAAGGACAAAAATGGAAATTCTTTACAGGAGAAAAGGTTTCTAAAAGTAGCAAAGCATCAGGTTCTCATTTTTTGGAACCCCATCTTACACAAATTAGATTAAAAATAGTACATGTTTACCAGTGACAGTATTGAAAAAAATCTCCTTGCAGATGGGGGTCTCAATTTTTTGAAGTATTACAATACTTTTAGGGGTCTTTTCCTAACAGATTCCTTCTAACAAAACCAGATGCTGGGCTTGATGCTGACTTCCCATAGTGAAATATTATGGGCATCTTTCGTGAGATGGGTCAAAGAGGTACTTTTAATTACTTTCTTTTAAACTTTGACCCAAAGTGATAATGTGTATAAACTGACATCAGGAACTGCAGTTCCACAGGGTGTGGTACCACAAAAAGGTGTCATAAAAAGTCAGTTCCTGTCCCAAAAAGCTTGCAAACTCGGGTGGCAGAGGTGAAAGGTGGGAGAAAACCAGACAAAATCCAAGGAGAGCTGAAGATTTTATCTAGATCTACTATACACAAAATATCCTTGTCCTTCCCCAGCCCTTATCCTTCCTATTTTCAGCACACTTTAGATAAGAAAAAATACTCATCTCTTGACCACTTGGGACCAAATTTCTGTTCCATCCTGCTGATGTCAACTGAACTTAGGATGTGCAAAACAATCAAGAATTTGGCCATTTCATGAGTCACTTTTTTATGGGACCATTTTTTCTGTTGGTTTATTTGACTCAAATACCTGTTCCAGAAATGTTCCTGAATAACCAGATCTGGGCATCTGAAAAAGCATCAGAGTTTAACCCTTACTAGATGTACATCCCAGATTCACAATTAAGTTTCCATGGCTTGACAAGTTTCCATGAACTGGCTGACCCTCAGCAGCAGTCCACATACCTACTCTTAGTTCACAGGAAAAACAAGTAGAAAATTACTTTCATCCTCTTTATTGTAAGCTAAGTTATGTAGCATTGCCTCGTATCTTACATGAGCTATGAGGTATGAGCAGGCACATGGAAGTTACCATGGCTCAGCAAACTAGTGAGGACCTGTTGAGTGACCGCCACTTGATCAAGACATGGAGCACATAGTGGTTTTCCCACAGGGCCTCAAAATGCTTAAGGTGCTTTAAACGAGATGGGCCAAATCCTGCAAGTGATCTCTGTTCCCATGCTCATTTTCATGGTGCTTCAGGGTGTACAGCTTCTTTCAGAGCTTGGATGTTCACAGAGAAATGCAGCCACCTCGTGGTGAGATGGCGATGTAGCCCTCGTCCTTGGAAAGCAGCGGTGCATTGCTGCCATCTTCCTTAAGTGCCCCCCTCCTATTTCTCTCACCATTTAGGACTGGCCTCATTTGTTCGGCTGTGATGCCAACTCAAAGTTGTTCCTGTGGTTCAGCCAATTTAAATGTCTCTTGCCTTGTCCTCGTGTACTACCAACGGGGCATCCATCATCATTCTTGTCAGGTCTCGAGCCATTCGTTCCTGCGGCAGACTCCTGTTTCTCCACAGCTGTCAGGATTATTGCTCTACTGTGACTTCCTGTTCACACAACATATGTTGCCTAATAGTTTCAAAAGGCAACTTTCTTTTATGAAAGTTTTTTTCTGGTTTTTTTTATTAACCTTTCCTTGGACTGGTGCCTGACCACCATCCGTCACAAGCCCACTTCTCTATGCAAGGCACTTCTTTCTCCTAAGGGCCCACCAAACAGGTCTGCAGCTTTCCAATTTTCACACAATGAGTTGCTTTCAGAAAGAACTTTCCCAAAATCCCTTACTTCTGAGCAGGCCCAAAGTTCCTTCTGTATCTACCTGCCAAGAGACCTTTTTGGAATTTTTTTAAATCATATTGCCTATCAACTCATCAGCTTTACAGTAGTGTTTTACTCAACCTCCATGTCCTCCTTTATGAGAGATCATAATTTTCATGTACTTTTGCATGTGTTTATAATGTATTTATAATAATTATATGCCCTGTAATTTTAGCTTTGGTTACTCTGTCTCCTCCTGTCTCTCCCATCCATGTGGGGGCCTAAACACTTGATTCTCTTCCATTCCACATCCAAGCTTTGTCCCTAGCAGCTTTATCCACCAACACAAATTCAGCTACTATTTCTATAGTGGCAGCTTGCAGATCTAACTTCTCTACTGCATGATTGACTCCTGTCCAAACAAAAATGTTGGCCTGTCTTTCCAGCACCTCCTAGTGGATGTCTAACTGCCAGATCAAGCTCAATATGTATAAAACAGAGCTCTTGAACTTTTCCTCCTAAACTCTGTCTCCTCTCTCCTCCGCCTCCATTCTCAATCACTGTGGACAACATTATCATCCTAGCTGTCAGTTATGCTCCTACCTAGGTGTCATCTTCAGCTTGGTTTTCTCATTCTTTCCACGTCTTCATATCCGGGTGACAGCCAAATGTTGAAGAGTCATTCTGCACAACACATCTAACACATCTAAGATATGGCCTTGTCCATCCACCCACGCAGAATAAAATCTCCTCCACACTTCATTGCACATACCTAAATCACAGCAGCCTTTATCCTACTCAGAAAGTACACGTGGTTAAAAGCTATGCTACTGTTGCTCTTTTTTCACCATCTCAGCCACCATAGTACCTCAGGATTTCTTTTGTTATGAGTTAATTACTGGAAGGGGTAAAAAAGTACTGCTATCTACATTTTCTTCCTAGAGGTGAGAAATGAAAAGTGTGATTCCTTTGATAAAGCTTTAACATTCTAGAAGTTTGTAAACTATTCTAAACATCTTCTAGGATTCCTACAGAAAGGAGAGAGGGAGACAGAGAGATTTCTAGAGATTTGTGCGTTCTTCCCTTTATCTATCTGTGCTAGGATGGGCTAAATCACCTTCTGGGCATCCCTGTCCCTTTCATTAATTATAATGGAGATCTCCATAACCGCATTAGACTGAATACCTGAGACGGGACTCATCTCACCTAATTTGAGACATCCAGAAGCTAAGGAACTATATCTAAGGTTGTCATCTAAGTGTTTGTCATCTAAGTTTCTATTATAATCAATAGAGAGAAATAGATTCCTCTGGAGGAATTTTATTTTCGAGAAACAGATTTTGAAACCTGTCAAACCAAAACCCAAATAGAAGTGTGCTTTTTAGCTAGTTTTACCTGTCAGATTCCTATGATCTGTCAGTTCCAAAATAGTGGTTCTTCACCTGAAGTGCAACTTAGGATGAAAAAGGATCCCTACTGATTAAAAACAAAAGCTAAAAACCCTTGTTTCCTGAAGATGTCTCAGAGTCTACAATTGCCTTTGCTCACCACTGATATACCCTTGCCACCCTGAAATCCTTCTGCTGCACTTGTCGCTGCCACAGTGATCTTGCTGGAGCTAGAGATCTAGGGTGACTATACCAACTGACATTAGCAACCTACAAGTCAGATATTAAAACTATTGATTTAACATCTCTTCCAATGGTGAGTCCTTCCACATACCTCGGACATGTACTTTAAGATTGCCTGACTGAACCATGCAGGCCTCTGACCTCCTCACTGAGTGTGCAAGGAGTAAGCAGCTTAGAGTGGACACCTGACTTCATGTCCAATGCAAGGGAAGCTGAATCCTATTCTGGGTGTCTGCTGCCCAGCTAAAGCAATTTGGGATTCAGAAACCAGGCATCCCACATCTGAGTCCTCTGACTCCTCATCCATTAGGTGTACTGTGAAATTGCCTAACACACTGACTGTCAGCACTATGTTCCTTCTGTATCTTTCTTTAATTAATGAATTTAAGGCCATTAAGACTTCCAGAACCCTGTAAGGTGGCTTTCCTCATCACACGGGCCAAGTTTTGTTTTACTGTAGAAAAACTTGGTCAAACCACAGCATTACTTCTGTGTCCAGTTAATAGCATCCCAAGTCTATCTATGCCTGACTGAACATCTTCCTTGAAAATTACTTTTTCAGATGGAATCCCTGGTTTTGTGAAAAGAAAGGAAAATGTGAGATTTGGATACAAGCACTGAACAGAT